GGGCCGTTCTGGGCGCCCCCCTGGAAACCGCACGTCGGGCTGAGCCTCGAACTCGCCCCGGTAAGCAGTCCGCTTTGCGTTGGAATTTAGAACCTACCGCCGCAGCTCCCTCGGCACCGCGCCCAGCCAAGCAACCCGTGGAGGGCTCGAAATCGAGCTCCGTAAAAGTGGGGCGCAGGGTAGCACGGCCGCTGGCCACGCAGTGGCGCCATGAGAAAGTTCGCGAGCAATTGCCCGTCAACGGCGACGAACTGCCCCAACAAAACAAAAACAAACGTCAACAACAAACTAAGAGACGACAACCACAAAACCGACTGGCAACAAAAAATTAGACTTCAAAGCCAATTCGGGCCTTTCAGTCCAGCGCGAGAACCCTCCATAGATGGCGGCCATCGCCCCAGGCAGCCGCCCCAGAAGCCATCGCCCCAGGCAAACGCAGCGCCCAAAGAATCCGAAGTCGGTTTAGATATCGGCGCTGCAACCTGACGCGCTGCAAGGGAAAACGCCGGATTCATAGTTATCGTCGTGCGTTTGCCCGCTCGACGCCGCAGCCACCAGCTCCGTCGCCTTGCCCCTTGGCCCCAGATAGCGACAGCATCGGCAGTCTTTTCGGCGCGTGGACACGCGCGGTCGAGCCCACCGCGGCCCTCCACAGCGGCCAGGCCAGCTTTGGACGCTCGCGCAGAAGGGCCCCGCCGACACCGCGTCGGAGGCCACGCCTGCAAGAGCCCCGCCGCCAGGGGATCGCATCGGCGGACGTCGGACCAGAGCGCGCGGTCTGAGATTCGCGCGCCCTGCATCGCTCCGGGCAGAACGGGGTTAAACAGCGGGAGTTGTCAACGGCTATTTGCCAGGGGCTTCGCGTCGGGGCCCTCGGGCAGGGGCGCCAGGCCACCCGACCCAATGATTGGGTTTCACCGGCGCATCGGGCCCTGCAGTTGTCGGCAGCGCAGGAGTCGAGCGATCGCGAGTTGACCGAGGCAGCGAGTTCTGCCAGAGGGTGGCTCAGAGGAGCCAGCGACGAGCCATCAATCAGTCGATTGCCGAATTTTGGAGAGGATACAGCCTCAGAACGCTGCGCCTGCCCCTCATCGCGCGCTTCGAGAAGCCCCATCAGGCTCTTTTTTCTTTGACGGGAAGAAGACAATCCAGCATCCGAGGGGCGCTGCGGATAAGAAGAAGGAGCGGCTTTGGGAGCCGCGGGCCCCACGGGAGCTCCAGGGGCTCGAGGAAGCCTCTGCTAATATTAGCGCTCGAGTTGCAGGCGAGGCACCCCCGCCGCTCTCGGGCGAGCAGCTCCGTGCAGCCCAGGCGCCTGATGAAGCAGCCCGCGGCCATGGGAGTCGATCGCCTCGCGGCCCTCGACGCCGACCGACCCCCCGACATCGCGCTCGAGGAGCTCGCAGTCGCGGCGGCGGCGGCTTGCAAAAACTGCCAAGCCTGGCCGCATCAGTTGTCGCCGACGATCGGCACCCTGCTGCCAAAGAAGATCGCAGGTGACAGGGTCATCGGCTTGCTGCCCCACACGGCCAGGCTATGGTCGCAGGCGCGGGGCCCAGGGCGCGCGCGTGGACCGACGGCTGCGAGGTGCCGCGGAACGCCGCGATCCGCGGCATCTGCGGCGCTGCAGGAGGTTCTCCTCCGCGCGGTGGGCGAGGAGCTGGCGGCACGTCCAGGCGCGGCCCACGCGGACTCCTGGACGCCCCCAGCTTCCGCGACACGATCGGGCGGCCGCGGCCGGGGATGGCGGCCCTGAGGCTGGAGATCACTGCCGAGATGCTGGGGCCGAAATTGCAGCGGTGCACGGCGGCGCGGCGCCCGCGGAAGTCCCACTTTCTGCGTCGCGAAGCGCATCGCCACCACGCATGCACCCGCGTCGCATCAATTGTGGATTGATGATTTGAGCCAGGTAGCTAGAGGATATCGTCGAGTCGCTTGCGATCGGCCAATTGTCCGCTCGAGGGAGACGCGCCAGCTCACAGGGATGGCCTCCAGATCCCCCCCGAAGAGCGCCACGGCGTGCACCGAGCTCGCCGACGCCAAGCAGGCCGCGAGGCGCCCCAGGGCATCGGGCCTCGCGGCGACGGCGGCGGCCCAGACCCCATGCCTCGGCGCAGATTTGGGGGGGGCGCAATCCCGCGCGCGCGACTCGAACGGCACGCATGGTCACGCACAAAGAGAACGCATGCCAGAGTAGCCAAACATGCACGCGCGGCGCGCCGGCACAGGTTGACAGCGAGGCCAGAGCAGCAGGGCGACGCGGCAGCCGGCGCTTACGCTCATCATGCTCACGGAGTACAGTCAAAAACCCGAATAGGGACGCGCGACTTTGCTCAGGGTACCCTTGCGTCCTTGCTCTTCCTTGCTCTTGCGTCTTTGGGGTTTTCGTCGCCCGCCGCCCCACAAATGCCAACTTCGGTTTCCAAGCGTCTTGCGTCCTTACCGCGCGTCCCTATTAGGGCTTTTGATTGTAATCGGCCAGATGATGAGGCAGATGCGGGCCTTCTTGCGCGATGCCACGTGCCCTCGGCGTACGGGGCGATGTCTCGCGACGCCGCTGGACTTGCGCGCTCGAGGGCGCGACCCAGCTCGTCGGCTACCACGAGAATGCCTGCAGGTGCGGAGTCGGTCGGCTTTCTCACCAGGTGATCAGAGGTGGAGTTGAGCAAAGTTGGAGGCAGCTCGCGCAGGAGGCTCGCAGCATGCCTCCACAGCTTCGCAGTCGACACATTCATAGTTCCACAAGCAGCAGTGATACCCTACCTCATGCAGGAGGGAAGGGGGCCAGGAGGCCCAGCGAACTGGCGCGTCGCCGATGACGGTTCGGCCCTCCAGCACAATTATCAGTTCAACCCCGAGGCCCTCGCCGGCTTCGCAAAGGCGGTCGCGCCAGAGGCATCCTGCATGAGCACGAGGGCGCTGTCATGAAGAGGTTGCGGCGCGAAGCAGCAGGCCACTTCCACGGCGCTGGAATGCAAGATGGAGTTTGTATGTTTTCATTCCGAGCACTTCTTCGTCAGCTGGAGGCAGGTCCGAAAAGCAAGAGATGTTCGGAGCGTTGCTTTTCGGTAGCGGCAGGAGCAGCACGGCCACGAAAAAGGAGATCGGAAGAGTCGAAGCAGCCAATTGCTCAGCTCTGCGCGAGATGTCGAGTTGAGCGAGACTCGTCTCTTCACAGGATTTGGAGCTGCTCGACGCGCACCGGTCACGACATCTACCAGATGTCCGATGGATCTTCGCGCGTGCCCGCACGCAGCACGAGGTGGATCCTTGCTGGCGTCGGGGCCTTTTGCCCAAGTCGCGGCAAGCTGTCCCACCACCGCAGGAAGAGCAAGAGTGGTGGACTGAGGGCATCGAGGCGTTCGAAGATGATTGACTCGGTTGGGGATCTGAGTCGGCACCCATCTTCCTCTTCAGGGATGCTGGCGGGGGCGAAGAAAGCAGCGATCCTCGGCTCCGTCAAGTAGGGTGTGGCATCGCCAAGTAGGCGGAGCTCGCCACGAATATGCAGCTGTAAGTGTCAGTGTTGGGGAGGCCTTCCGGGACCCCCGCAAACAGCAGCCAGGGGGAGTTGTATATTGTTTTGCCTGCGCTCGTAGGTTCGAGCCGAGTAGTCTAACACCACTGACAATGCCGACGTCTTTATGGGGTGGTGTTGTGGCCGAGCTTTCGCCCCTTAAGAGGGGAACGCGGATTTGTGGCATGAGGTAGGTCGGGTCTCACGTGCCCACTTGCAGTGCATTGCTCTTTTCTTTCACTCCCATCAGGAAGCCCCGGACGGTCTTCCAAGGAAGCCGTTTTTTACAATCAACAGTCGGGAGCACGGCAGCAGATAGATTGGCCAAAGTTGCTGCACAAGCAGTAGGAGTTCCAGCTGCCGACAGAGCGAGAGCTTTCCTGACTGAGAAGATGGCTTTCGCCCTCCGCATGCGCACGTTGCCAGGCCAGCCACAACTGGGGGAGCTGTGGTCCTTACCCCCCTGGGGGACCCATCAATTTCGACACCCCTCTCGAGGGATCGTCGATGCGATGGGTTCCCCCAGTTGTGGCTGGTCGGGTTGCTGACTGTTCCCTAGAAGCTCTCAAAGCTGAGCAGGCCCTTGCCGCAGAAGGGGCCCCGGCGTGCCCGTGCGAGGCATCTGGGGCCCAGGCCGTCTCCCGCTCGTGTTTGCAAGGGTCTGCTCTTCAGCACACGCTGTCAGAAAACGGCCTCTTACGTTTGAAGCGTACAGTCGGGGCCCTGAAGAAGGAACCCTTTGCGTTGGGGAGGGGCTCGGTGTTCCTTGTTTGTTTCAAAGTTTACCTCGGGTTGTCCTAAGGTTTTCCATAGGAAATCGAGGTTGAACTTGTGGGAAAGAGAGACCGCGTTCCTTATTTAGGGTTCCTTAGGTCAACGCCCCGACTATAGGAGCTCCAAATCCAAAGGTGGGCAAAAGTTTTGGCTGGATACCCCGCGCTTCGCCCCGAGGGCAACAGACGGTGCTGAGTTCGGGCCCCTTCCCCCTTGCAGGGTGCACATCTGTGGGGGGTGACCTGATGATTTCCATTCGATATAGTTTCACGCCGGGCTAGGGATTGGGTTATGCGGTCCCTGTGGCAATTTCATTGCCCAGCAATGGGCCCAGTTTGGCAAGAGATGCGTTGGCAGAGCTGAAGGTAATCGCGCTGATTGCTCGCGTGATATTGATCGGGGGATTTTGCCTAAAGCTCACAGCAAAGCTGACAAGGGCAGGCGAGAGGCACGATCGATCGAAGCCCCACCCGCAACCGACACAGTCGCAGCATCCGTAGTGCCGTAACTCCTCCTCCCTTCCCTCCCTCCTCCCCCCTCTGCCCCCTCCTCCTCTTGCCCCCCCCCCGCATCATCCTTCTCCTCCTCTCTCCACCTTCCCTTCCTCCTCCGCCCTCGGGAGCCTCGACCCCCCCGGTGCGCGGGAGGGCCGGGACGCGCGGGGGCGCGGCGCGCGGCCGCGGCCGCGCGGAGTTCCCTCCTCCACCAG